AGTCCATCCCGTTAATTAAAAAATATATATATTTTATATTTGCTATGATTTATTTTTCAATATTTTTTTAAATTACAATTTAGTATTTTTAATGTGTAAAATTTCTTTTATTTTTAATTAAAAATATATTTGAATAACTTAAATAATAATTCAAAAAATAACTTTAAGTTAGTAATAATTTTATTTTATTTTTTTGTTAAAAAATAAAAGAAAATTAAGTTATAATGAAAAAAGAAAATGCATATCAAGTACCAAACTTTTCAATAGTAGTTTAGAAATTTACCCCCAAAAAAAAATATTATGTATAGAATCTTATGAACCCATATGCATATATATATATATATATATATATATATGTGTGTGTGTGTGTGTGTGTGTGTGTGTGTGTGCATTGGGGACTAAAATAATAAGCAAAGTCATATATTGTTGCGTGTGAGATACTTGAATAATGGGTGGCTACAAGATATCTAGAACCTTGATTAATTAATTACATTACTATATATTATAATATAATTAAGGGACCAAGTTAATATAAAACTATAAAATAAAAAAAAAATATTGTTATAAGTGGAAAAATGATCCACAAGCACACCAAGATATATTATGTTAATGGAAGATATCAAAAGTTTGGTGTGAACCCAAAATTCTTGTATGAAAATTAAGGAAGAAGACATTACAAGGTAAATTATTGGTTGCATATGTCACTTGTAATTCTTTTTTTTTTTTTTGGGGGGGTTAATTAATTAATTAATTCCATTAATGAGTGGAAAAGAAGGATTGAAATGACATAACTAAAGAGAATTGTTAGGCGTGACTTGGGAATTTTATTTCACTTCAAGTCAAAATCCTAATTGCTTACGAAATTGATTTATAAAAATATCCTTAATTTTTCATATTTAAATCATGTTTATTTTTAAATTATTTTACCCAATATATATATATATATATTTTAGTGTTTTGATAAATAATTAATGATTTATTAAATGGGTTGTTCATAATTTTTTAAAATAATAATTTAAAATTTTTTATTGGGTGTAATTTTTATTTTTAAATAATTTATAATTGATTTTTTGGTTAAGAAAAACACCAAAATAATTATTTAACTATATATACATATACATATACATGTATATATATATATATGTAAGACGTTCAAATTGAAAAATTCCATTAAAAATACAAAATTAAATTACAATAAAACTCATGAATAATGTGTTTGGTTAATGGAATTCCCAATAATATTCAATTTGAGTTACGAAAGGAAAAAGCCAGAGCTTATCATGAACTCGTTTGTGCTAGTCTTAGTGGGGGCATCATTAGATATTGCATAGGTCTCCATATTGACTTCATATAATTGGACATACATATATATATATATACATACAACATATACATACACACACACAATAATGAATTGAATTGAATTGAATTTACGAAAGAACAATTGTTTGGGCATGATGGGTGTTCATATGAGTCATGGACTAATAATACATCATTGTAATGATATATGCTGAATTTGCCCTTTCCCTATACCTATATATATACATATTTTATATGTGTGTATATATATATATATAGTATTAGAGAATTGACAAACAGTTGTCTTGTGCAAATAAGGTCAAGCCAGTTTCTTCAACTATCGTTGTCAATTAATGAACATTTTTGCTTTTTTGTTATATGCACCATTGACTTTCTGTACGCTTCCATGGATATATATATATATATATGTGATGTATTCACACATACATATATATATATATATATATATATATATATATTGCTGACAGTATGTCTACCCTTCTCTTGTTTCTTCTGGAAAAAGCTTAATAATAATAGACTCAGTCTCTAGATCTTTTAAAAAATCATACCAACCAAACATATATATACATATATATATATATAATAATCCCACTAAACACATAAGATAACCCAATATGCCTGCTATTTCAATTCCAAATTCATCATACATACATACATACATACATACATATATATATATATATATATTAATAATCTTATATAATATATAGCAAGCTGGTTAAATATTTTGGATGGTCATTTGCTTTTGTAATATTTAGTAATTAAGTTGTGAAGTAGGAGGTATATAATTTTTTTAAAACACAAATAGTTATTTAGATTTTTAATTTATTGTATATACTCTAAATAAGATAATACAATTTTTATAAAATAATTATACCCGTAAAAATATAATAGATTTTACGAGACTTACTATAACTTAATCACCACATCCGTACTAAATATTAATAAAATTAAATATTATAAATTAACTACTGTTAATACATAATACACATAAAATAATAAGTTATGATACAATTCTAATAGCATAACATAATAATTATATATATATATATATAAAATTAGTAATACCTATCCGGACCACTTTAGATTCTTCGTGTAAAAATATAATATTATATAATTATTCTCGTAAGACTACAAAAAAATAATATTCTTAAATTATAATATTATTTTTTATATACTATTTATTATTATTTTTATAATAAAAAATATTATATTAAAATTTTAACTTATTGTGATTATTTCATTAAAAAGAATTTAACCACCATAAATTTTTTTTTTACTAAAAAAATATAATAATTTTACGAGACAATAATAAATTAAATTATTAATTTAATTAAATCAAATTTTATAAATCAATCACTAAAAATTTATAATATATCAAATAGTAAATTCTATAATTTAATATTCATTCAAAAGTATCAAATTTTCGTATTGTATTAGAATGTTCCCCAAAAATTTGAACATGCTATTACTGTCAACTTTTGTTATATGTATATATTAGATATATGAAATATAGAAATAATGATAGCTCAACTTTTATATGATATGTTCTAGATGTATGCCTACCATGTCGCATAAAATATTTCGAAAAATAATTTTTAATATCAAATTGCACGTCAAATTTAAAGGTCAAATTGAATTATAATAATATATATTTTTTTATAATTTTTAAATTTTAAACATTATTCAATGAATCTAAAAACTTTAAGATAAATACTAAATAATTCCCATATATAAAATTAATAAATGAGACAAAATTTTAGATAAATAATTATTATAATATTTTAATTTTATTAATTATTAATTAAATTATATTAGTCATAATTAAACTTTTTAATTAAAATAAAATAATAATTAATCGTGCTTTTATTTCCCTCCAAAACAAAAGCTTGTCAAGAGCCCACTGCAACGGAAAAGAGGCAGAAAGAATCTCTGTCAGGTCAACTGTATTCTGACTTGCGGGTCCCACCGGGCCCACATTCCTATTTTTTTTTTAAAAAAAGAATCAACGGACAAGAAATCCTGCTTAGTCAACATTCTAGGAGCAAGTGTCCCGTACGATCAAATCTCTTTTCCACGTGGCACAAATCTCTGCCCTCCATTTTCAATTCCTATTGGTTGCTTGGGATGCTCCCAACCCAGAGTGGAATTGTGGACCCTACCTCACCCTATTATCTCTCCCCCCCCTTTTTTTTTCCTATTTATTTTTATATTTTGCAGCCACGTGGATTTTATATTTTTACGCTTCTCTCATTTTAAATTAAATGTAATAATTAGTTTAAAATTTTAAAATATTATATTTATTTTTAACTGAATTATTATTATTAATATTTAAATAAATTGTTTTAAAATTAAATAATAATAGAAAAAAAAAGCTGAGAGAAAAAAGAAAAGGAATAACTTGGCCTGCGGTGGGACCCACATGAGGATCTTTGAGAAGACGTCAGTTTTTCCTACTGCTTTCATGTTCATAACTGCAACAATGAACAATTCTCCCTTCTTTTCTAATTTCTATTCTTTCGTCTTTAATGGATTTATTTATTCACTTAATCTTATTATGCGATTGTAATTTTGTTTAGCTTTTGTAAAAGAATTTAAAAGACAGACTTTGTTTTCTTTTGAGTCAGAGGTAAAGTGTCCAGGGGGAGGGAGAAAGCAAAGTTTCCTCCTTTCACACCTTTCAAAATCCCAGCAATGGATAATCTAGGAGTTCTCTGTTCAAATTTTACACGATTTTCTTTTGTTTTTGGTACTGTTAATACTTTCTTTTTCTCCTTCCCGATCCCTCGTCAATACCCTTTTTGATTCATACTTATGAAAACGGTTCATTTTTCTCTTATCAGTAATCCTTGATCATGAGCTCATTGTTTCTGTAAATGGTTCTTGGAGTATGAAGAACAAGATTGAAATTTGAGCCTTACCCTCTTTGAATTGATGCTTTTCACGGACATAGGTTTTCTGGGTTTCTTTACTTTGCAGCACATGGTTCAGCCTTTTCTCTTATGAGTTAGTAAGTCTTAGGCTTTTAGATTTTAAGTTTGTAAGTTTTTCAGCCCTGGTTTCATCATGGTAGCATCTCCCTTTGGTGGCAGAAAATCCTGTTCGTAACTGGCTTTCAAGTTTTCCAGGATTAAGATCTAGTTTTTTAGGTTCTAAAGACTTAATTTTTTGTTTATGCTTTTTTGGTGATTTTCTCTTGGGTTTTGATGTTTATGTGATGCTTTCCCATATGGGTTTCAAGAAATAGGGGCCTTGGTTTTTTCCTTTTTGATGATTTTGTCTTTGGTTTTGCTTTTCCTATGATGTTTTCCCATTTGAGTTTCAAGGGTTTTAGGAAATAAAGGTCTGGTTTTTAGAGTTTCAGTTGGATGAAGATGGAGGGAGTTGAAGAAGCAAACAGAGCAGCTGTAGAGAGCTGTCATAGAGTTCTTACTCTTTTATTAAAACCCCATGATCAAGTTCAGCAAAGCAACTTAATGGCTGAAACTGGAGAAGCTGTATTCAAATTCAAGAGAGTTGTGTCTCTTCTCAATAGTGATTTAGGCCATGGAAGAGTCAGAAAGTTGAAGAAGTTCAAATCATCTTTGCCTCCCCATATCTTCCTTGATAGTCCTAGTTGTACAAGAATTCTTTCCCCAAAACCTCTCCAGATTCTCCCTCCTAACTTTTTTGAAAAACCAATACAAGAAATTGATCCAAAACCCAAATCTCTTCTCCAATTTTCCCAGAAAATGTTTCTTGACAATCAATCACTAGACCTAACCCCATCTATTAAACCTCCTCTCCAACTTACCCCAATAAAACCATCACAACACTACCAGTTCCTTCACCACCAGCAACAGCTAAAAAGGCTGCAAATGCAGCAGCATCAACAAGTGAGATACCCTGCTCATGATATGATTTACTCAAAGAATAATGGTGGGATAAACCTCAAATTTGATGGGTCCAGCAGCTGTACACCCACCATCTCATCTAATAGATCATTCATGTCATCTCTGAGCATGGATGGAAGTATGACTGATTTGGATGGGAGTTGTTCAAGCTTCCATCTTATTGGCATGCCACAGACATCTGACCAAATCTCTCAGCAATCAAGAAGGAGGTGCTCTGGTAGGGGAGAAGATGGGAGTGTGAAATGTGCAAGTAGTGGTAAATGCCATTGTTCAAAGAGAAGGTGAAGCTTACTTTTCACTTTTGAAATTTTCCAATCTGGTTATTCTTTATTTGCTTTCAAGAGAAATAACTCTGTTTTCTTCTTCTTCTTTTTTTCATTTATAGGAAATTAAGGTTGAAGAGATCCATCAAAGTGCCTGCCATTAGTAACAAGGTTGCAGATATTCCTCCTGATGAGTTTTCTTGGAGGAAATATGGACAAAAACCAATTAAGGGTTCTCCACACCCTAGGTACTTATATCAAACTTATAATTAACATGACCAAACTTATAATTAACAGGTCAGAGTTCTAAGAGATGGGCTAAATCTAGGTGATACTTTATTGGAAATTGGAAGAAGAAGAAAGAGAGATTAATAAGAATATTCAATTTTGATTTTTTGTAGTTAGTCACTAAAAATCTTCAAATATATAGGTATATATAGGAAGAAACACAGCTCTTAAAAATTTCAAATATATATATATATATATATCATAATTAACTCTAATATGTGAATCATTTAGGAAAACTCAAATAACACATATTTAAGTGTAATACATGAACTACTTATGAAAATTCAGAAGACATATTTAAATCTAATATATGAATCAGATATAAAAATTCAAAAAACATTAATTATTATATTCATAAAAAGTTTAAACATGTTGAAATTTGCAAATTATTATTTTCAACAAAAATTGCATGATCATTTTGGTTTTGGTGTTTCTGTTGAAATTTTCTTGTTGTACATGTTACTTTCCAGAATAGTTTGATGAATTTTGTTGTCTTGCTAAATTTGTCTATTCTATTTGTGTGTAGTTGCATCCTTTGCCATACATATATATATATAGGTCTTGCTATATAACTATAAATATATATATATATATGCTGAATGATCAGAATGGATTAATTTCTAAAAGTTTGTGCTAATCAGAAAATGTGTAAGAACTTCCTGGACTTCCCAAATTGAACAGAGGAAGGCATCATTGATCATTTCCATTTGATTGGCAATGATATTTTTGTTTAGAAAATATTTCTTTTCCTAGAATTAGCAATCATACCTGATCATTCACAAGACATGTTATCCAATTTCTGTTAAGACATAGCTTCTGGGTTTTATCTGTAACATCTAAAAACCTACGAGCGAGTTTGACTGTTATAGCAATTTTTGTTCGGAGAATGTTGAGCTTGAGCTTGCCACATTAATCGCGAACACTAACTTTTTAGTTCTTAGATGATGAAGAGAATGTTGTGAACTCGAGCTTACAGTATACACCCTTTTCGTTTTAACTTCCGTAGCCACCAAGTTATTAAGTTTTGGGTGGAAAATCTGAAGATTATGCTATTTGTAATGCAGGGGATACTATAAATGTAGCAGCATGAGAGGCTGCCCTGCAAGGAAACATGTTGAGAGATGCTTGGAAGATCCTTCCATGTTGATTGTCACTTACGAAGGCGAACACAATCATTCGAGATTACTCCAAACTCAATCCGCCAACACTTGAAAATCTAGCTCAGAGCCATGGATGTTTCTCTTCCACCAAACTTCAGGAACTCACCTTCAACTGTTCTAATTCAACAAAAAACTGGTTGGTGTCTAGTTGTGCATTGCTCTAGTGTATATATATGTATAATATATATATATATATGTACGTAGGAAGAAACCAAGAGTATGAAGGAGCTTGATTTCTCTAAAAGAAAAACAAAAGTTTAGAGATTGGATGGGAACTTTCACCTGTGTAAAACCCAGGCATTAATGTTCCTTCTTGTTACCTTAGATTTTTGTTTTCTTAAATCCAAGACTTTAGTTTAGCAACTATGTAAGAGGCTGTTTGGCTATAACCTTTGTCTTATAGGACCTTGTACCCTCTAGAGTTTATATAAGCTTTTTGGCATGTGTAAGTTTATATATATATAAATATATATTTAAAATAATTATTAAACAATGTTGATAATACAAGCTTATTAGCTTTGTTAGTTTATTTATAATTTGCAATCATCTTAAAATTAAGCCTGCGTAAATTAGAAATCATCGTAAATATGAAATGAAATACTTATCGTAAAAAAGATGTAGGTCACGTAAATATAAATTTTTGGGTTTTGATTACCAAAAAATAGAAACTTTATAAATAAATATCGAAGATTGATATTTTGATGCGGTAACTTTAGATATATAGGGTTATAATTATTTACATTCTAAATGCGCTTATGATATGACACCAGTCGAACTCTTAACCTGTGTGTATCATTTTATAAAAATAGAATATGATGTGTATTATCCTCACACAAAAAAATACATAAAAGTATTTATTTCAACAAGCAATTCAATAGTTCTCTACATTTTCTTGGGTTAAAAATGTACGAATTTTTAATAATAGAAATTTTATGATATCTTAAAAATTTCTTATGATTTCAACCGGATTTTTATCTCGTAATTAATTAAATCTTAGTTTAAGATCGAGATTTTAATTTTAACTGTTGTTTAACGTTCATTTATGAGCTGTTAATGAAGAATAATATTAATTTTTTAATAAATATAAGATTTAAAACAAAAATTTTTATCAAGAATTCAACTATTTCTATTTTTTAGATAAATAAATATAAAGTAAGAATAGAATATTATATTAATTTAACTAATTTTATGTTAATACTTAAAATACTTTTTCTCAAAAATTAATTAATTAATTAATAATACTCAAAATTCATTTTAAATTCGAGCATATTTTTTTAATAAAAACAGCAGCTTTTATGTGTTTTATGTTGGAAAAAACAATATAAAAAATTGAAATATTATATATAAAAAATTATATGATTATATATATATATATATACATACATACACACTAATCACAAGTTTGGGCAGTCCAAATAAATGAGAATGGGTCACTTGTAATAATATTAAAAGGCCCATATTAACTTCATCTAAAATAAATAACTTTATTATAGGCATAATTTAAGAATTAAATAATCAATTTATTTGTAATTAGATAGTTAATATGTTCATTTATATAAAATATTATGGATTTGAATTTTGTTATATATATATATATATATTTTTAAGAGCTTAATTTTATATCTACGCGTAATTCTTTTGTTTATTATTATAATAAATTTGATCTGTAAAATTGGATTATAGTTTTAATGTTCTTGACTCTAATTATCTTTATAATTGTTTTAATATAAGTATTTACTCGTTGGTTAGTAAAATAATAAGAAAATTAAATGTGAAATTCATAATTAACCAATAGAATTAATACAAAACTTATTTTCTAAATAAACTTTCTCTACTTAACTCACAATCAACCTGTGATTGAAAATAAGGTAATTTAAATAAATAAACTGATTAAAACACTACAGAAAATATTTTGATAAGATAAAATTAATTCAAGAAAAGATATCGACAAAAAAGTCATGAGTTATATTCATAAATAGATACAAATTCTCTATTCAATAAGAAGGTTGAAGAACTTTACAAGTCGATAAGGTATAAAATTTTGAATTTTATTTACTTCTACTTCGAATACAACGAATACATAAGGTCTACTTATAGATGTAAGTCATTAAAGTTACAATAGAAAGTAAGCTTCTAAAAGATTTATATTACTTCTATAAGAAAATAAATAATCACATATATTAGTGAGATGTCACATATATTAGTGAGATGTCGTCGCACATGAGAAGATCTCTTGATTTGAATTTCAATATAAAAATATAAAGATTTAAAGTAAATTCATTTATAGTATTATGAATCAATCCACGTTTAGATAAAGATAATATCTTAATTACTTAAGAGTTTGAAATGAATCCGTTCACGATCATGTACAATAAGTATTACTGATTTTTTTTACATGTTTAGTATACCTCGTTGGAAAGATGTTTTGGCTCAGAAAGATATTATCAAATTTTCTTTGATTGATTCCCCGTAATCCTTGATTTGTGTCATTTGAGATGAGATGAAAAGGAAAAAA